TGGAAGAACATAGTATGTCGCTTTGGGTTACATCGGGTACTGATCTTCGACAATGGCAAGCAGTTCGAGGATATTAAGTTTCAGGAATGGTGCCAAGATATGGGGATTCGGCAGAACTTCACATCGGTCGCGCACCCGCAGGCAAACGGTCAAATAGAAGTGATGAACAGAGCTATCCTCCGCAGGCTGAAAGCGCGACTAAACCGAGCTAAAGGGTTGTGGGCGGACGAGCTACCAAGTGTTCTATGGGCTCACCGAACTACGGAGAAAACCGCCATAGGAGAGACCCCCTTTAACCTCACCTACGGCACTGAAGCGGTAATCCCAGCGAAGATCGAACTACCTACACTGCGACTAGAAGCATATGACGATCAGACAAACGGAAACGAGTTACGTACCAACCTTGACCTACTGGACGAGGTAAGAGACCTCGCGTACATCCGGACCACAACTTACCAGCAAAGAGTAGCTTGGTACTACAATGCCAGAGTAAGAAAGCGAAACTTCCGCGTCGGTGACTTGGTTCTCCGTAAGATCATGGCACCCGAGCCCGGCGTAGGCAAACTTGGACCGAATTGGGAAGGGCCCTATAGAGTAAAGAGAGCGCTTGGGGGGGCATACAAGCTCAAAACTTTAGAGGGCAAACAAGTACCCCGAGCGTGGAACGTCGTTAACTTGAGGCGATACTACCTATAGACCACCAAGCGAAGTGGACTAAGTCGCTACCAGAGCCTAAGGGCTAGGATGCCGAGCTAACAAGGACCTCGGCATGGGCAAGCAAAGGCAAAAAATGCCAACCAAAAGCTCAGGCAAAGTGCCGACAACAAACTAATAGGGGCATCGGCATCTCAGAGGCCAAGTGTTAACACCAAAACTGGCCGCACGAGTGCAATAACCCGGGCAAAACGGATTGGGCATATGATCAGTTCAGCAATACGGTCAGTTCGCAAGAAAGAGTGACCAACACTTAACCAAAAGAAAATTATTCCATTGCAAAATACTTTGTGTACATTTCCAAAAAAAAAAAAAAACAACAGAAGTGAGCTTACAGGCCCGGAGGTACTTCTTCACCATCAGAAGGCACTTCAACAATACCCGAAGGTCCTGCCTCGTCCTCAGAATCCGGCTCACCGTCAGCAGCATTGGCCATCTCCTAAGTAATGTGCGAAGTGGTTATGGCGCTAATATCGAGCTCGGGGTACGTATTCCGGATCATCCATCGGCTCAGTTTAAAGCCCCTTCTGTACGAGCCCACCATCAGGTCGTCAAAGTGCGACGAGGCGATGTATTCATTAATGGCCTTCTTCTTGGCATCATCGATGCCCTGAGAAAAGATCTCTGTCCTCTCCCTAATATCCTCTTGAAGGTATTCAACCTGATGCTGCAAGTCCAGCCTCAGGTCCGCCATATGCTTCACCACCACTTCCATGGCTTCGGTATCTCTTTGAGACCTCGCCAACCTGGCCTGTGCAGCGCGAGAAGCCGCCTCAGCAGC